GGTCTTAAAGAACTTTGTTTTTCTACCTCCACAAGACACAAGTGCATGTTGCCTTATCTAAAAGTGCACTTTTATTTGCTTCAAACCTAGCCGAAAAGCCTGTCAAACACAGTGTACGTTAATTATATCGATTTATTGTGAAATTACTAAATTTCCGTGTCAATCCATGTTCCTTTTTATCGCGAACAATGCGCTGTCACTTTAATTCAGCGCGAGCAGCACAGCAAAAATAGACTCGGTGCGTAAACGATCGCTGCACTGCTGCAGACGCGCCGCACCTGGAACGCACTGCCGGACCGCAACCGCGTGCAATGTGAACGCTCTAATCCGTTAACATGGGTGCGTAAAAAAACCGCAACGCACACGCGCTGCAGATGGAGTATGTGTGAAACAGGCGTGAGGCCCGTTCTTCGTACCTCGCTTAATACATCTGAGATGATTTGAAAGATTCCAGATCTAGTAATCGTGATAACTGATCTCTGGCTAATTTGGTTCTTCAAACGAATTTGCGGATTTGATTAAAATATCTGGATTGAGTTGTCTAAAACTAGCGCGCGTTCTCTCTCCTGCTCCCCGAAAAGGGTAGATGTATGATACTCGAAACCACGATCAGCAGTGCAGCGATTGGCTGGCCGCAAAACAGCATGGTAATGACATCATATAATTAAAAAAAGACACCTGACAAATTTCTGGACCTTTATAAGGAAACAGCCAAGCTAACAAAACCACGTAAATGGTATAATAGATAAATGGAATGTGCACGGGTTTTTGTTTTATTTTATTATTTTTTACATGATTCCAAATTATATATATATTCACGATTTCTAGTATTTGTACAAGCTGTACATTTTTATTTCAATGTAGTAATTAGCAATTCATTTAATTTTATCTTTGAAACAGATAAAATATCTGTCACCACTCAAATTAATACATGGCTCACATTAACTGTATAGCATGGTAAGACTCCAATACAATTATAAAGTAATTATTTTATTATGAATAAATATTTCAATGAGTAAAACTTACTGTGTCTGTAGTATTATAGACCAGTGGTTCCCAGCCCTGGTCCTTGAGGCACCGCAACACTGCACGTTTTGCATGTCTCCTTAATCAAAC